AATCGAATCGTGAGTTGAGTGAATCGTTACATCCCTACTTGTAAGCCATCAGAAAAAAACAAACAAACATAAAGACAGATAAAAATAAATGTTTAATATCCAAGAAAAACAAAAGATTACAGAAGTCCAATGGGTTGCTACCATAGCACTTAAGTGTTTCACATAGACTTTAACACTGAGTCAGGGCCTTTTGCATATGACCATCTATTGGCCTTGGATGGCCTAAAGGTCTTGCATGACAATCCCAGACTGTTTGGCTAAATCTATTAGCTAGTTTTGGCATATAACTCAGATGCCACGTGCATGCCCAACATGCCACCCATCATTGATGTAGCATTGTTTGCATGTCCCATTTCTCACCAAAAAATATTGATATAGCTGCACTGACATTTAGGAAATTTGCCAGAGATATTAATATGTGCTTTATCAGAGGAACATAAATGACAACATATCTAAAGCATCTAAAGAGTGTAGGTGAGTCAGGGGACCACCAGCATCTGGACGTGACATCTTTATGTCAAAGCCATGCCATTGATTTATAAATCAGCACCTGATTCAATGCATTTATGCAATGTTTTGGCTCCAGTGTTGGCAGTTTCAGTCACTGATTTGAAAGATACTGTTCTTTGCTTTTGTTTGAAGTGACTGACACAATACAAACTGCTATTAAAGTCTATATTTCTGCTACGCAGTTTAAACACAGACTACAGAACAAAGGAGGTTCAACGGTATGAATTTCTTTCCAATCACAGCCGTTTAATCTTAGCAGGGATTTTCTTCCTTTTGAATTCAACAGTTTAAAGTTACATTCTAAAGTGTTCTTTTATTCTCTAGGGCTGTTTTACAGTCACATATTTTCAGTCAGATAAAAGCTCGGACAAGCAGCCACTGGTCAGTCATCAAATCTGCAATCCACCTAATCCATAATGATTCAGCATGATGTTGCAAGGCTTTTTCCATTACATAACGCAGGTATAATTAATTAAAAACCTCCTCAGGGAGTATCGACTAATAATGATTCGATCCCAGTTCAGCAAGTTTAGAAGATCAGCTCAGCTTATCCTGTAAATTTGTCGTAACTTGCAAAATCTGAAAAGAAATGTTCCAGGGGAACTCATTTGGCCTCAATCATAAAGCACTTAATGGTGCACTATTTTTGGACCAATATCAGAAAATTTTTTGTAGAGTTTGCAAATTCAAAAGTGTGTGCTTAAAGGGGTCATGTGATGTTGCTAAAAAGAACATTATTTTGTGTATCTGGTGTAATGAAATGTGTTTATGCGGTTTAGGGTTCAAAAAACACATTATTTTCCACATAATGTACATTATTGTTTCTCCCTTTATGCCCCGCCTTTCTGAAACGCGTCGATTTTTACAAAGCTCATCGGTCTGAAAACTGCTGTTCCTGAAACCACGCTTTCTTTCTTTGCGTGCACATTTGGGCGGTGTTATGCAAATCTTCCCAGATAGTGACGTAGGTATGTGGGGGGGTGTTAGAACGAGCCGTTTTAGGTAGGCGTGGTTGACTCTTAACTTTTATAAAGAATATCTCTTTGGATTTGAGACTTTAGTCTTTGCAACTTTACAGATCTTCTTTATGCACCAAGAGCTTGTAACACTCCAAAGAGAAAGGAAAAATTTTAATCGCATCATATGACCCCTTTAAACAAAATCACATCAATATGTCAGACACCTCCCGGCTGGATATTTCACAGAATGTTCTGCAGCAGACATATGTCTAGACGAGCACAATAATTGTGCAAACCCCAATGCTACCTATATATTGTATTGCATAATCAGGACACATGCTGTACATGATGTGTTACAGCAGATGTGGATGAGTGTCATGTTTCCTTTGGGACAATTAGACATGTCAGCACTCTATTGTACTCATTTGGCCACAAACTTCGGGGCAGTCGTGCCCTAATGGTTAGAGAGTCGGACTTGTAACCCAAAGCTTGTGGGTTCGAGTCTTGGCCAGATCTCTCTTCCACCCTCAATACCACGACTGAGGTGAGAACCTTGAGCAAGGCACCGAACCCCCAACTGCTCCCCGGGCGCAGCAGCAAAAATGATCAAAAGTGAGTGTTGATCAGACATTTACAGTCACAAAAATATTTTGAATAATTGCTGTTCTTTTGAACTTTCTAGTCATCAATGAATCCTGACAAAAAATCTAGCATGGTTTACACAAAAAATAAAAAGCTGCTGTTTTCAACATTTTAAGAAATAATAAGAAATGTTTATTGAGCAGCAAATCAGAATATTAGAAATGATTTCTGAAGGATCATGTGACACTGAAGACTGGAGTAATGATGCTGAAAATTTAATTTCGTCATCACAGACAACATAAATTACATTTTCAAATATATTCCAATCGAAAATTTGTTTTAAATTCTAATAACATTTGACAATATTATTGTTTTAATTGTATTTTTGATCAATAGAAATTAACATAAACTAATTAATAAACGCTGTAGAAGTATTATTCATTGTTAGTTCATAATACCTAATGCATTAACTAGTGTAAACAAATGTAAGTTACCAAAATGATTATCAGTGGAATAAAATTTTGTAAACAAACAGTTTAGGATTTTAAAATTCCGATTTCTTGCCATGAAGGAACATTATTCCAATACAACAACAAAAATATCAGTTAATTCAGTAGGATCTTACAGGAATCTTAAAGAGGATTTTTATTTTTTTCCAAATAGAGCTAGACATTCCAATGGAAATCATGTACACATTCCTTTAGGATTTTGTGTGATTATGCTCTCAGAGTGCTGACTACATGATCATGGTACGTGCCGTGAAAAGTTGTGAACAACAGTCTATTTTCACAAGAGGGGTTTGGAAAAGAGAAGGATTTTCCTTTTCTCCACTTCAAAAATCTATTCGTAACCACAAAACAATGTGTCAACTCAGTAGTACTTCATTAAGAAGAATACAATACAAATACATTTACATTTATTCATTTGGCAGACGCTTTTATCCAAAGCGACTTACAGTTAGAAATACAACAAGCGATTTACCATAAGATGGCAATAAACACGAGAAGTGCCCATTATACAAAGTTTCAGTCATCGTTCAAAACATTAAAAGCTAGGAAAGGAAGGGATAAAGGATAATAAGAGAATAGAAAAAGTGAAGGCATATCATTTTTATTATTGTATTATTATATATATTTTATTATTATAATATTTATTTTTTTAAGAGGAGGCAGTTAGATGCTCACGGAAGAGATGAGTTTTCAGTTGTTTGTTGCAGATTGTGAGGCATTCGGCTGTCCGGATGGAGTAATACAATTCTCATTTTCTTGGATAGCACTGTCAACACTAGACTGAACCCTTACAGTAACACATTCAGTCTAACTGTTACTCCAAATCAACAGAGAACTGCCTTAATAAATTTCAAACCAGTACGAAGCGGTTCCTTTTACAGTTAAAGAGGTGAATGACTCGAAAATAACAGCGTATCTATCTATTTGAACAGTTGACAGATAAACAGGCCCCGGTGCAAGGAAAGGAAGCGGCTGCACACCCACACACTGTATTATAGTCATTCCTCTGTGTTGATTCAAGCGCAGGTGAGAGATGGCCGAACCTCACAAAGCTCTGACGGGAATGTTGACGTCACTTCTGACAAGGATGAGAGACAAGTTTACTCAGCCAAAATAAGGCTGAGAGCCTCTCAAACTCTGAGGAACCAAATTATATCATTTTAAACATCTTACAACATAAAAAACAGTAACAATTTATTCTACAGTATCCCTGTTACATGTACTTACTATAGTAATAACAGTAGGGCTGGACGATAAATCGCATGTGATATTTAACGCGCATCTTGTCAGAAAGCCGGTTCTGTAATCAGCGGTAAATCTCCATCACGTGCGTGCTTTCACATTGAGCAGCATTAACTACACAGAGCCGTTGTTCACTGACGAGCTGCGCAAAAAATCGCGCGAATATGAACGTGGTTTTGCGCAGCTCGTCAAATATCGCATGCGATTTATCGTGCAGCCCTAAATAACAGTAAATTATGTATAATTACATGCAAAACCCCTAAACCAAACTCTAATCCTAACCTCAACCCTACCTTAAGTACATGCTGTTAATTAACATTACTCAGTATTTAAAGAGACAGTTCACCCAAAAATGAAAATTCAATCATCGTTTACTTACCCTCAAGTCGTTTCAAACGTGTATCAGTTTCTTTCTTCAGCTGAACACAAAAGAAGATATTTTGAAGAATGTGGGTAACCAAACAGTTGCTGGTAGCCACTGACTATTTTCCCCCCACTATGGAAGTCAATGGCTACCAGCAACTGTTTGTTTACCCACATTCTTCAAAATATCTTCTTTTGTGTTCAACATACGGAAATTAACTCATACAGGTTTGGATAGGACATTAAGGTGAGTAAATGATGACAAAAATTACATTTTTGGGTGAACTATCCCTTTAAATCCCTTTAAACAAAGACACCGGAAACTAAAGTGCAATAAAAAAAAAAACAGTTGAAAGTCAAGTCCTTAAGTTGAAAGTCACAATGGTCATTTTGCAACTGACACAACACATTTGCGTCTACCGGGTTTAACACTTACAAGAGCATTCGAAACCACAAGGTTGACCATATTAACTTAAACTTAAAAGATTAACTAGCCTAGGAGAATGCAATGAGAAAATGTGCAAAAGAGTGACGTTGATTGTGGTACTGCGTAAAGGAAAAGCAGCCACATTTGTTTAAGGATGCCCAATCCAGGTTAACACTATGACCCTCGTGGTTTTACCCAAACAGAGTTTGACCCAGACAAAACAAAGTCAAGATGTAGCCACAGCACTACTGTTGTTCTTTCAAACAAACATCAACAACGTTTGACAAAGAAGCTTCAATTGCAGGCAATGCCAACACGTTTCTACCTCCCACCCTTCTTTCTTTTTCAAAACAACACACGTTTCTTCATGCACGCTTGCGCTTGTGCATCTGCTGCTCTTCAACTCACCGGTGCTGGGCATGCTGGTGCTTCTGGACTGAGAAAGCAGCTCCACGTGTCGCTCTCTGCCGGACGTGCTGTCTGAAGAGAAGCAGGATTCGGTCTCATAGATTGTCTGCAACATCGCGCACAGTCCCGGTACGGTTGGCTTCAAAAGCATGCCAGTCTCGAAATATCGCCACTCAATTAATGCAAAAACTAATTAACATGGAAAAGGAGATGCCAACCCACTCTCCATCCAAAAAAGTCAAATATGCAAACACATTTGAAGGAAGAGGGGGAAAAAGCACCACTTCCTTTATCAAAAGGTACATGCATGCAAAGAATCGAAAATCGCTTTGCCCGTTAGATCCATGGTTAAAAAAAACAACATTTTTTTTCAATAAACAAATGCAATCAGAACAGGTATCCGTGAAAGGAAACACTGTAGACAAATCCTCAAATTGTTCACTCAAACTAGCAGCTTTACAGCCACACAAACGAGTCTATTCATACACCACATCACCTTCTTGTCTAATTGTCGATGTCAGAAACAAACTGCTAATTCACACCGACAAGTCCAAATGTGGCTTGTATCCAAGACCCCGGTCTGAGCGTGCCTGTATCCTGCAAACGTCTGAAGTCACGCATGTGGTATCGGCGGACTCCAAAAGAGCGACTTCCCCATGACGAAATGCGACGGGATGAGATAAAAGCGACAGAACCGGAGAGACGATCACTAAAGTAGATCACTGGGAGATTTTTGCCTGCCAGTCCCTCTTTTCCTTCCTTCCCCTCGCCTCTCCGTACAAGTCCACGCTTACAGCACAGCACACAAGTCACTCTCCTGATGAATGGCAACTGAACTGTCCGACTGTTCCGTTTAGTGCGACTGTGTTGCTTTTGTGTAATTGTTCAAAGCCGAATCTCTGCACCCTCACCCGCTGGGTGAGGCGAACGGGAGAGCAGAGGTATAGAGACGTGGAGTTTACAAACAGACTGGAGCTGCTTCAGGCTGCTGGAAATAGCTGGCGAGCGACAGGGGAGGGGCAGGACTGTGCTATAAATAGAGTCGGGAGCTGAGAGCTCGCTCGGAGAAAGAGAGAGTGAGAGGAGGAGGGTAAGAGAGAGAGAGATGGAAGATGGAAGAGAGGGGATGGTCGATTGTTTATCATGTAAATAAAGGAGCCAAAAAAGAAGCCAATGAATCATACACAAGACCGTGACAGGACTGGAGGAGTGAGACCAAACTGAGTTTAACTCGATAATACGAGCCAGCACAAAGGCAAACGAGATACAAAACAACACGAGCGCTGCTAGGTTTGTGCCAATGCACGCTATAATGAATGGAACTAATTCATGCGTTTGAAACACAAGCGTTTAAATCTACGCTTTTAGTACAGAGGACTGCTTCCTTCATACAGAAGGAATCTGCGTCAGCACTATTGACACAGAGAACACAAGGGTAACCGTTTCACAAGCGCATGTGGGTCAAAAGACTAGGGCGGCCAATGCAGCATTACCAAACCTGTGATATGCCAAGCGCTGTAATCTCACTCTATTTATCATTCAAAGCAAAAACAACTCAAAAAGTGAATTGTGACAAATAAACAGTAAAATAAGTAGTGAATAAAACAAAGGAAAAATTTGTAAAAATTGTGTTCAAACTGTATAAAAAAAAAAAAAAACAACTGAAACATTTCAAAAAATATATTTAATTATATAATATATTTAATTTATTAGCTCATTATGTATTAATACAAATAAAACTTAATAAAATATTAAACAAACATAAAAATATGTATTAATAATAAACTAAATATGTTTATATGTATTAACATATAAACATTTTTCAATAAATAAATACAATTATATAAACTGCACTTAAATTACATTTAAAATAAATATTTAAACATTTATTTAGCAAAATAAATGTAGTACAATATAATTATTTAATGAAGTGTGCAAAAATGCAAGTTTTAACAGCCTTGAATAAATAAAAACAAAAATAAACATTTAAATATTTATTACATAAATAAAAATTATTATTAATTTTATTGTGATATTATTATGATTATGATGATGATGATTATTATTATTAAGTGTGCAAAATGAACAAGGCAATGCAATTTAAATTTAATTGTTTTTATTTTTTAAATAAATAAAGAGATATAAATTGCACTTAAATTAAATTTAAGAAATAAATATTTAAACATTTAGTAAAATTAAAAATGATTTTTTTAAATATTAAAAATAAATATTTAAACATTTAGTCAACTAAATTTTGTATATTATTACCATTTTTTCTAATGAAAATGAACAGACATTGAATTAAATGTTTTTATATATATTAAATGTAATATGTGGCTCCTGTGTTGTTGAAAGGCAATTTTCTAATTGATAATGAAGACTTACACCATTTCAATATTTAAAAAGACCACAATGATGTTTGGAGGTGAATTTAAATCAGTAATGCACTAAATCTTTGTTATGTTAGGTGTGGGGGCAGCATAATGCATCCATTGCGAATTGCACCATTGATTTCATGCCCTCTGTGTTGATATATGACAAGGTTATCGGGCATCGATGTTCTACATCAGTTTATGGACCCACTGCCTAATGCATGCTCATCGCATTTATTATCCAAGACGGACTGACCTGTTGCACAAGCACAAAGCTCAAAGACGCGTCAAGACTAAATAAGAGGAAGAATCAAATCTGAGACCACACAGTTTTCTTACACTGATGGCTAAACATTTCATACAAGGAAAGTTGGTCCCAGACCAATATTAAAGGGCAAGATTTATCCAGAATGCCTAAATTAGACCTCTGACGTGTTTTTCTTAGAGCAGTCTGTCACTATGACCACTAGTGTGTTGGAGAATTAAAATGGATTTGGCTCAAGAGCAGGCAACGATCAAAGAGAAGCTTTGACAAGCACTTGTTTGAAAAAAAGACTCATTTAAAAACAACATGGAATAGATGTGCATGTACCCAGCATCTCCAATCATTGCCTAGCCATAGGGCTTGATCTAAGAGGGCTAATACAGGTTGTGTACTCCTGGCGAAATCAAAGCACTTCAACATTAAATGTTTTGGCACCCATAGCAGGGCTAACACATCATTTGTACCAAGGTTGAAAATAGAAACAAGTTTTGTGAGGCATGATTTGCCCATGAGCAATCGACAGCATGCAGCATGATAAAAAAAATAATAATGATAATAATAAATAAAATTATATAAATAGATATATAAAAACATTTATTTAATAAAACAAATGTAATATTTTATTATTCTAATGAAGTACGCAAAAATGCAAATAAAAACGCATACAATTTTTATTTTTAATTACGATTTTTAAGTAAATAAATAAATACATAATGGATTTAAAATAAATATTTAAACATTTAATAAAACAAATATATTTTTAATACTATCATTTTTGTTAACTAATGGATTGTGCAAAAGCATTTAAAAAGGCATTACATTTCCATATTAGATTTTTTTATTTGTAATTTTTAAATAAAAATGAATCAAATTTAAAATAAATATTTAAACCTTTATTAACACAAATGTAACGTATAAATTTTTTATTATTATTATCATTATCTAATGAAGTATGCAAAAAAAATGCATTTAAAACACATTAAATTTAAATGCTCAAATTTAAAATTTTACCTACATTTTTTGCACCTAATAAATCATATTAAAAATAAATATTTAAACATTTAATACAACTAATTCAATGCATTAAATAAATAAATATATACGATATAATTTATTACTTTTATAACAAAAAAACCCCAAAAAATTACTATTACAATAATACACTGCACTGTACAATAAAAACACAAGTATTTTGAAAAAATTATTTTTATAAAACAATAGTAGAATTAATTTGCTTTATTCAATGCTAAAACATTGAGTTTTTTGACAGAAAATCACAGGGAGGCCTTAAAGCTTCTCTTTTGTTGCTTCAAAATGTCCATAAAGAGAAATATAGGTTAACAAAAGGTTCGCAAAGAAAATAAATCCATATGAACCGAGCAGTTTAATCTCTTCTGAAGAGATATGATCATGCTTTTATTCAGATATAAACATGTAATCAGCTCAACTATACTTGCATGACACGCGAGAATGAACCTCACTGGTTCCTCCATGCCAAGCAAGCATGCTTGAGCTTCTGAATGCTGTAAACATAGTTTGCTGATCAATGTTTATATTTGATTAAAAGCATACATTAAATCTGTTCATCAGTGACTGTGCCCCTTCAGAAGACTTGGATTAAATCGCTCAATTCATATAATTTATTTTTTGATCTCTTTACGAACATTTTGAAGCATCAGAGATTGGGGTGAACAGTCTTTCAATGGAGGAACAGAAATCTTTCAGACTTCATTAAAAATATCTTCATTTGTGCTCCGAAGATGAACAAATTTCTTATGACAAGGGTGTGTAAAAGATGACAGTTTTTATTCTGGGGTGAACTATCCCTTTAAGGGTGTCCCACACACAGCCACTAGATGGCGCTGCTAGTGGTAAGAAGTGCAAAAAGTGAAAAAGCGAGTGAAGTGACGTGTAGCCAAGTATGGTGGTCCCATACTCGGAATTTGGGCTCTGCATTCCCCCATCCAAGTGCACACACACAGCAATGAGTAGTGAACACACACAGACCTTTGTTCATCTTTGGAACACAAATTAAGATATTTTTGATCCGCGAGACGTAGCTGACACAGAACAGCATACGTTGTTTAGTACAGCTGATACTCTCCAAAATGGCACCAGGGTGATGCGAATGTCCTCGTTTGAGAGACTGCCAGACATTCAAGTGAGAGAAAGGCAAAGAGAATTAGCTTTCAGTTCTGCTCTGCAATGGGGTCTAAAGGACACACACACACACACACATACAGATGCAAGCCTTCTAAAAAATCCTTCTGAGCACAAACATGAGCAAATGCTGTCAAATGTATCATTAAACTGCCCATGAAAGCCTGATAGGGTGCCTGTATACATTTACAGTGAGAAAAACAACCTTTTTTAGACTCATCATTTGATGACTCATATCAAGGCATAGACTGATGCACTTACACCCAAAGTGAGGATTCACACACATGACCACGACTGTGTGTGTATATATATATATATATATATATCAGTCTGGCGAGTAAACTAAAAAAATTACTAGCCAATGGCAATTCAATTGCCAAGGTGTCCGTAGATGGTTGCTGATCCCGGTCCCGCTCACTTTTCAGACAACAAACCGGTCTCATTATAATGCGAGTTGAGTTGCAAATGGAAACGGAGGTTTAAAAAAAAAAAATATGGACGAAGAATAGCGCATGCACATAAGTTTAATGTTTGCAATTATGTCTGGAAAATTCAATTTTTAGAGCATTTGGTCTTGCGTAAATGGATATAAGAATGTCAGTGATCAAATGCTTTCAGAAGAGATTTTATGACTTGTTTGTGGATGCACACATTTTAGGATGTTTATCCAAAAAAAAATAAAAAATCATAGAACTCAAGGGTTTCCACACACGATGCACTCTTTTACAGATATGACAGTGATGTACTCATGTTAATAATTTAATAAGAAACTCTCATTATTAAGGCTCCACAATTATCAAAATAACATACAAACTTCTATTTGGTCAAGTACAATCATTAACCTATTATGCAAAATTCACTTTTAGATGTTGTTTGAACATAAATGTGTGTTGGCAATGTGTGTACAGAGCCACCCTATTTTAATAAAAAATCACCCGCTCCTTTTTTTTAATCCCCATTAATCATAAGCAGTGTCTCAGAGCAAGACGTTTGCAGAATCTGTGAAATGTGACGTCACATTGTACAGGCCCCGCTAGAGCTGCACGATTCTGGATAAATTGAGAATCACGATTTTTTTTGTCTCAAATAGAGATCACGATTCTCCCACGATTCTGAACTAAACAAAATAATGTGCGGCAAAATATGATTGCTGCAGTCTATTTAAAAGTGTTTCATTAATTTGAATGAAGTATTAACCATTTTAATATACACTACCAGTCCAAAGATTTTGAACAGTAAGATTTTTTATGTTTTTTAAAGAATTCTCTTCTGCTCACCAAGCCTGAATTTATTTGATACAAAATACAGCAAAAGCAGTAATACAGTGAAATATTTTTACTATTTAAAATAACTGCTTTCTATTTGAATATATTTTGAAATGTAATTTATTCCTGTGATCAAAGCTGAATTTTCAGCATCATTACTCCAGTCTTCAGTGTCACATGATCTACGGTTCAAAAACTTTTGACTGGTAGTGTATATGTATTTAAAATATAATATATTTAATACTTCAATTTAATATTAAAATTATGAAAAAGT